GCCCCCGCACCGCCCCGTCCCGCCTCGGCACCGGGGCGCGCCGTGCTCCGGGTGTGCGGAATTTTCTTGCTGCCTTTTTAAATCGGTATGCCGTGAAAATTTTTTTTTTCCTCTTAAAAAAAAAAAAACCAAAACAAACTAATCTCGCTTATTTCTGCAAGAGCCACGCAATCGCCCCTTTGATCCCCCCGTCCTGCGATCCCCCACTATAGCAAAGCCTTTTTTTCTTTTTTTTTAAGAAGTTGCAAACTCTTCGCCGTGGAAAAAAAAAAAAAAAAGATTTGCTCCTGGGAAGGGCAGCAATAAACTTGATTCTTTTTCCCCTCGCAAGTGCAATTGGAAAAAAAAAAATCTGGATTTGAATTTAACCTTGTAACGCTTTGCACGGAGGTTTTACATGGACGCGCAGAGCAGGAATAATTTGTGGAAAGTTTAAAAACAAACTTTCTCGAACGGTTAAATGTACCTGGCAGAGGCTGTTTTGGAAAACGACAACAACGTCCTAGAGAAGAAAAGTGACTGCTGCTTCTCCATCTTAGGGACATAAAATAATAAAAGTGGCCCTTGACAATAAATCTTTATAGCTGCTGACCTTTACCAACGCCTAATCGCAAACCGATTCGTTTTTATCTTTTTCTCATTTGCCCCGAGAACGCGAAACTTTGTCATCTTAACGTCTAATTACGGTTTCACCGGGAGAGGGGGGGGGGAAATGCTCTCCGCCATCCGATCGTAGCAGGATTTCGGGATTAAAAACCAACTCGCAGATTAGGCCCGGCCTATGAGGAGACGGCGACTCGCGTTGCCTTCCTCGCCGGGGAGCTGGCCGGGTCCCGCCGGCCGGGACGCGGGTGTCTGTCCGCGGGTGTCCGCGGGGGAGCAGCGACTTCGGGCTGCGGCAGGAGAAGGGCGGTTTTGCGATCGCGTTGCTTCGGGGTGCGGGGCCGCCGGGGGGATGCGGGGCCGGTTGCTGGAGGCGTTAGAGTTGCTGAGCAGAACCGCAGCTCCCTTGCCCCGCACCTCCTCTTACCTTGCTGAAGCACTTGGTACCCTCGCCCTCTATTGTAAAACGCTTTCGGCCGTGTTTGGGGTTTGGTTTGGGCTTGGTTTGTGGCTTTTTTTTTTTTTTTTTTTTTTTTTACCTGCAGATGACAAAGAGGAGCCTGGCAACTGCAGGAATATCCCAGTTAGCCC